AGCCGCAGGAAGAAAGCCAAGTGCGTATGCAGCAGACAAATCTGCAGAGCAATATTTGCAGAGAGCTCCAGCTACTGCTTTAAAAAAAAGAAAAAGCCAGAAGCACCTACTAATTAAAGCCCAGTTTCTTTATGAAGAAAGAGTTTCTTTAATCTATCAAGACAGACTGTGTTCTTTCATTCTGAAAGGAAAGGTTAAGTCCTTGAGAGCTTAGTATTGCTAGAGTATGAGCACTGAATAATGGAATAATACACAGTATCCAGGGAATGCGGGACATGTCTACACAGTGCCCTGCAGCACCACGCTGCATTAAGAAACAAGTTTGTAATTCTGCTCAGCATCACGCTACACTAGCCAATGCAGAGGAACAGACTTGGATCATGTAGTCACACTGAAGGCTGAGAGGGTTCCCCATGACTTTAGAAAGGGTTTGCTTGTCAAACTTAGGAGAAAACAATACTTTGTACACACATTAGCATAATACAGAATGAAACCACTGCTATGGAACATAATACAGATCACTCTTTCCAAGCAGACTTCTATGACCAGATGTGAGAGTGCTCTGGAAACTATCTAATAACAGAAAATTGCTCTGACAAAGTCAGCCCTCTCACTGATCCCGTCAAAAGATGCCGGGTGTGACTGATGCACCTGCTCTAAGAGAAATCTCAGTGCTGCATCCTAACTGCACCAGCAGTTGCAGTTTTGAGTCCTAGACTTAAAGAAATGCTAAGAAACCGAGGACTTGCTCTCAGCCACTTGTATGCAGACTTGCAAGGAAAGGAATCCACAGCAAGACACACCACAAAAAGCCCCACAAGATTACAGCCCCAAAGCAGAGTTAATATTATTCATGTTCATATTAATCTGTCTGAAACAGCTCCTGTTTAAAACCTCAGCAACCTTTTCTAAAAAACTGCTTGGGGGAAAACTATGAAGAATGCAAGTCTCTCTCAACCCATGGCAACAAGCCCAATGGCACTAGGCAGCAAAAGAAAGTGTGCAGATTACCCAATAGAGGCTGTTGTTTATGAAGAACAGATCACAGCAGGTTAAGTGCAGCATGGAAAGGGAATGGCATTTATGCAAAATACAGCATAACAGCAAAAAGGAGAGAGCAAGTCTTGGAAACAGAAACTGGTTTCAGTCATGTCAATTTTGCAAAACAGTACATGACCTCCGTTTTATACAATTAATGAAATTATTCGTATGAAACAAATATTCTTATGTTGTGAACAACTCAAATTTCATTTTCATCTGAATCCTTATATTACCACAGACTAACTGCAGAGGCCTTTTGTTGTAGGAAGTAATATGCCCCTAAGCCTGAAATATAAAGAATTAGCAGTTCCTCACATCTGCTCCCATTCAGTCATCCCATCATGCCTGTAATGCCACCACCTCTTCCATGCTACAAATCCATGCCACATTTTTAGGTGTGTCAGCAGTTTTAAAAAGGGATTTGATAAGATCTTTGCGATACACAAGCCCCCAGAATCATGGAAGCAGCACACATGGTGCACAGAAACAGTTCTGAAAACCAGTGAATTGACAGGTGCTGCTCCTCTTCATGCAGCACACAAAAGCCATTATAACTAGCCATGCCTAGAAAAATCAGCGATCCAAGCATTCAGTGGCTCCATTTATTTTCAGAGTAGACTTTATAGACAATGAAATAAGGATTACACAATTGTTTAAGACACACACTATTTCTCTCTAATGCAGGGTTTACTGCTAGACAGACCAAGGTGTTTGCCTTCAGGGCCTCCTCCCTTTCACCCTTGTTACCACATCCAACTGTTGGGTGTCAGAGTCAGCTGCCCTCCAGGGAAACAGAAGGGGAGGAGATCAGGTGAGCGTGGTGTCCCCATGCAGTACCTGCTGCCTGTCACAGAAGAGCAGAGTAGTTACACTCTCCCAACAGACCCACCCAATTTGCAGTGGATCTGGCTCCGTATTCACACAGTTTTGTACTGTGTGCAATCCCAGGAACTGGAAAGGGCGACTTGGGCTGCTTTCAGTGTTAACCCCTAGAGACTGCAATTCAGTTTCTAATCAAGAGGACGATGATAAACCAGAAAAGCAATAGTTCTATCTGGTTAAGACCTTGAAGCTTCTGTGTTCATATAATTACAGCTACCAAATGCAGTTCTCAAACCTGCATCTACTAGAAAGTTTAGCTCAAGAACTAAAAGCAAGTCATCCGCGTCTTGAGTGCTGCAACAATTAAGGCATTTGGTATTCTAAATATAGGGCAGGCATCTTTGTTTCCTCTGTGATCAGAATTTTTCTTCTACCCAAATAATTCCTCCAATAGCAGTAACATAGAAGGGGGAAAGTTGTTTAAAAAAATGCCCTAGCCAACTCTACATACAAGGCATACCCTGATGCATACGCTTCTGCTTGGATTCTTGTTGGGATGGCGACTCAAGGTTGAAGAGTATGGTGTTTTTTTCTCCTAGAAACTTTGTTGAGAGATGCTGTTCTGTTCTGGACTTCCCAGCTGAGATTTCTGAGTTTGGATGGAGCAATTCTCTGGGTACTGAACTAATAACAGTTCAGAGCTGACTCTAGTAAGACCTTGAGGACTTCAATAACTGACCTACAGAGCTTCCCTGCAAAGCAGAATCTGGGTGTGCCAACTATCAGCACAAGAGATGCAGTATCCAGAGCACCTTCACCAGATGAGTCCTATTTATGAGTTGCTGGAAGCAAAAATTGTTTAGACTGTTCACAAAAACTGTAATTTCTAGACATCCTTTTAAAATCAAAGTTTAATTAATTTGGACCAGAAGCTAGGGGAAATACTTGTCTCAAAGGCAGGCTGAAACCGGTTAGCTTCCTTGGAAGCTGTTTTTCCTTCACATCTTATGCAGGGACAATGACCTTAAACTGCTACAATATAAATGACGAAGCTGGTTCCTGAGGTATGTGGAACACAGGGTATTTTTATGATCCAAGGAATGATATGAATTTCAGTTAACTGCAGCTACAAAGGGATCAGAGGCTTCCTTCATCATGCCAGGTAAAACAAAAGCATTTTAGTGTTCACAGATAGGACTGGATGAAGGAAGAATGTGAAATATTGCTTGGCTGCCAGCTGAAAACACGATTTTTGTAAGCAGTTTCATGCTGCCCCTCCACTGGCAAGCCACACTGGCCTAGGAACGTGCAGAAAAGAGGCCCAGCAACTGCTCCATAATCCAGATGCAGGTACCAACCTTCCAAATAGACCTAAAACAGAGCTTTATCAACCGCACTCTCATTCCAGCTTATTAGGTTAAAAGTTTCACCTGCACCTCCTATTTTCCTCTTGAAGAGGTTGATGGACATATGACAGAGAAAGTGGAAAGTCAGCTTTCCTTTTCCCTTTTTTCTTGAACTGTAAAGTTTAACATGAAACATTTAGTTGGCCCACCGTGGTAGGTTTTATAAGTATTCCCTCCAGTGCCAACATAATCTGAGAAGCTCTATACTAAAATCAAATTTCAACAACTGGAAGTGTAGTTAGACTGCAAGAAGCTGTAGCCACCTTCTTTCTTCTCCTCACCTTCCCAAGATGGTCCACACTGTACACAATATGATGCTGCTCCAAAAGAGTATGCAAAATTGGCAGGATGGATACAACTTTTTCCACTTCACCATTAAAAAAACAAATCAAAAACACTCCCACACACCAGATAATGGGAAGGTAAGGTTGAGGAGGGGAATAAAATTTTTAGTGGGTTATCACAAGAACGTAATCTTTCCTCTCCTCTTCCCCTTAGGCATCACAAAGTGTTTGAACCAATCCCAAAGCTTTTTTTCTTTTCACATCTTTTTGAAGTGAATATTGATTTTAATTTGGAGCTATTTTTTTTATTTTTTACTTTAAAGTCTTTGCAAGCAATAGCTAATGAACCCTACAATTTCTCTGGGGCACCAGATCTCTACAGCAGTCTTAGATATAGGGAGGCTAAGGCAAAAAAAAAACATTGTGTGATTTACCCAAGTTCACAAAATGGAGGTCACAAGGGTTGCAGGATTTTGGTTTTTGAGATGTATGCCAAAGGGAGCAGACAGCATTCCCCTCCTACCCTTATATGCAAGGGAACTGCATACAAGCCGTTTTTAACACCCAGTTCAGTTAGCGCTAGGATGCTACTCAATATGTTAGTGGTAACAAAACAAAGTATCACTCTTCGCTTCTACCCTGCCTTAGTAAAACATACCCTTCCTCTCAATTTCCTTAATGAGGGCTTTCTTTTTGCGGTAACTACAACTTCTCTGGAATTCTGTGTAATTCTGTGTGATGCAAGACCTCTCCCAGTTCAACTGTTCTGAAGGATGATCAGTGACCAGGACTGATTATTCATTTTTCACAGATTATTAAAGGCCAACAAACCATAAGCCTCTTCTCCTAGCCCTGCCTGAGATAATTGCTTCTCAAGAGAAGCAGCATTATGAGTCAGTCTACAGTCTCAGGATATCATTTAGTTCCAGCAAGTGAAGAATCAAAAACCCAAAAAAGCTGTCTCAACACCTCTCTGCCAGACCCTCAAACCACAACAGGGCAGGTAACAGGAAAGTGTCATCTGTCACTAACAAGTATCCTGCAGCAGTAAGAGGCTTAATAGACCACTCTTTTTTTTTGGTGGGACAGATGAAACACAGGTAACAGCAAGAGAAGCTCGGTCTACCCTGCTCTGTGAGAGCCACAGCTATCTTTGCAGCTCATCTTCAGAGAAAAACTGAACTCCCAGGCAACTTGGTTTTGTTTCTGTGCTACACTGGAGGTGGATGCCATTACATATATGTCTTTTAAGATATGGTTTAAGATACGGTGACTGAATCAAAGCTTCCACTTGGTTAGACAAGTCCCCAGCCTTCAACACTTTCACCTGAGTAACTAAGTCAGACAGTGTGGACCCATGATGCTGCCATCACTTGGCTCATGCTTTAACAATAAATCTGCTGCAGCCACTGGGAGTCTGGCAGAAGGAAGCCAGTAGAAATTTTACCTGTGTGAATGATCCATCCTCATTGCATTCTGGGATGAAGACTGCTTCCTGGGGCTTCTTTGCCTGTTCCAGTGCCTGAGCTCTCTCTAACCGACACTTGCTTTGGCCAGCATCTACAAAAAGAGAAGCAAAACTCACTTAGATTGCAAACATTATTTGGCCTCTTTGAAAGCTACCAGATGCACCACACAGCTGCTGGTTTAAAGAAAAACAAAAACAACAAACATAAGGCATCAAGGACCATTACCTACACATTAGCAAGGAGTTAGCAATCATGATCCCAAAGACAAATAAGAGCCTAGACAATCAAACTATGAGCCACTTATTAAAAAGATGTCTAATTGGCTAGTTAATAGTCTTTATGGTCATGCAAGGGGTCTGGAAGCTTCTTCCAACAAGTGCTGGAGCAGGGTGCCCACACAGTGAAAGGCCTTCCTGGAAGGAGTTGTATTTACGGTAATATGAGCAGCCTGGAACTTGATGGCTGAGTATAAGCCAAGTAACTGAGGCCCAGAAGTGAGTAATGTGGAAGAAAGGATGACCCCAGCAAAGCTTCTTCTCTGAGCAACTCTCTCAATAAGATGCTAAAATAACCAGCCACCCATCTGAACTTCCACCTTCGTACCCTTCAGATAAGGTAGATACGTCATTGCCTGTGCATTTCTGAAGCCCAGCTTCTACCTCTATTCCCAGTACTCACAACCAGGTGTGCATTATACTTTCTCATATCAGTTACTCACTTTGCTGCCAAGAAAAAAAACATTGTTCTGCAAGCAGAGCTTGAAAGAGTTAAGATCTCAGCTCTGCACTTACTTCAGATGATGGCAGCAGGTAGCATGACCTTAACCCCTTCCAGGTCCAGCTCACTGTTACAGAGTATAAACCCAGATAAGTCTAACACTGATGATTGATGGGTCAGAGGACAGTTCTGCCCTCCATAGATACAGATTGACTCAGTGTTTACACTTAAAAACATGATGTCTCACAGTACTGCTGTTCAGTCTAGAAAGAGAAGAAAAACAGCAAACATCTCTTTCCAAGAGAATCTGACACAGGGACTAGCACCTTCTTCCTCTTCCCATGAATCCACTGCCTGTAAGATTTTTCAGTGCAGAAACTGCAAACTCTGATCATCAGAATTTTTCAGCAGCACTATATGAAGTGATCAAGGTTGAATCCCCATTCTATCAGGCACAGAAACCACATTGGTTATCAAAAAAAAAAAGTTCCACTGGATCCTTGAAGATCCCATATTCTGCTTCATATAGATTTCAACAACAGAATCACTAATACCAGCACTGAACTAGAAAGCCAGTCTGGGTTCTCAGATCAACTGAATTCACATTGCATGGCAATAGAAATGATCTCCATCTAAGCATATCTAGATACAGAAATCAATGACAATGCTGTAAATAGTTTTGATAAAGACAATGACCAAAGTTTTCAAGCTGAGAACTTTATTTACACAACTGATGATTCAAGAGAACAAGTTTCCACTTTGCCAACACAGTTGCATTTTAACCACATCACATTACTCCCCAAACAGGATTTCACGAATCTTCTTAAATTATGGAAATCAAACCCTCCTCTTTGGAAAAAGTCATTCACAGCAATAGTGTTCAGAACAAAAACCTGTAGCTTAGGCACTGGGTTACAAAGCAAGAGTTCCTGCATCAACTCTGCCACTGACCCACTGAGTGACTGCAAGTCAGTCACCTCACCTCCCTATAGCCTGGTGCACCTTCTCATCTTTAGGCTGTAATTTGTTTGCAGGGTGCTTGCACAATACCCTTAGCACATGGAACTTTGATCTCAGGTGGACCTATTAGGAGCTTGTATAAAAAGCAAGATTGTTACTCACAGAATGTAAAGACTTTCTTGAATAAAATTTCCACTGAATTTAGAGAAGCGGTACTTGTTTTTCTAATTAACCATAATATAACCTCTAAGCTGGAATTTCCTTTCTTCCCCCTACCTGCCAAAGTGACCAGATGATCAGACCTTGTTTGCACAACTCTGCTGGAGAATGGTCCTGCCAGCAGTACTGACCCTTCCAGTACATGCTTGTTCTTTCAGCTGAAAAGGAAGCGCTGGCAATGCTATTAATGGGAACACCAATCCACCTGCAGATCTCCTGTTCAAGCTTAGGAGTCTAATCTTGCTTGGCATGACACAGGACATTATTACAAAACCAGATGGTGCAGCTGCACCTTCTGTTTTATAGATAGCTGTCTGGCTAAAAACACCTTCAAGTTTTGCTTCACAGGAGACAACTAAGTAGCAAAAAAATCAGCATTTTAGCATTAGATTATGCAGATCTGCACATATAAAGTATGGAGGGAAAAGAGTTGTAAATTTCTCACATGACAATCAAAGCACAGATTGACAAATGAAAGTGTGTTTCTGGTCTCTCCATCCAAGGATACAGGACTGCAGACAGGCATATCTGGTTCCTCTCCAACATAAAACAGAAGCATAAAGCATTTCCACATAGCATTTACTTTAGAGCTGGCACACTCACAACTACATGACTGAAAATGCATGTTTCACCACATCGCTTGTAATCATTTTATGGTATCCCGTGTAGTACGAATACATTAAGATCCCAGGCAGAAGGGAGACCAACTCTGATCATTATCCAGTTTGCCTAAGGAGCAGACAAATATGACACAATCAAGCCCTTATGTGAGAAAATGATAGTAAAAACATGTTGCTGCTATGTCATTCCTGGCAATTTTAACTGGCCTTTATAGACTGAAATCCCTACTAGCACCCAGTAGACCACACGGGGTAGCACACCACCACAACACAGCATTTAAGAGCTCATCATTGTTGCAGCATCCTCTTTTGCAATTCAACCCTTGACTCGAGTCATGCTTCTCCACAAACTGCTGTTGCAGTGCAGAGAAGACACACAAGTTTTCTCCTGTTCATGAACACTCACCCCTGATTACTTCTCCCGTCCTCTGTCATTGATTTCCAAAGGTCATGCCAGTCCTTTTACAGCCTTGATTTGGAACAACCACCTGGCTAGGGAGGTGTGTGCATACCATTATCTTTTTTGCCTGTCGTTTCACAGTTCAGTTCCAGTAAAAACAGTGCCTGTAATATCAACATTTACCAGTTTGTTTTTAAAAGGACTGTCAATCCTTCATGTGCTCACTCCACAGGCTGGTATTTTTATAATGTTTGCATCAACATGTGATTTCAGTGGGATGACTTCACCTTGCTATTTTTGCTATGTTAATTAGAAAATGTAAAATATTACATAAGTGCCAAGCATTTAAAAGTAGCTGCCAAATGGGTCACCCCAAGTAAGATGCATTATAAATTTTACTAAAGCCTGATGTTATGATGCAGATTCACATACCCTATTCTACATTCCAATTGTTTACCTGAGTGTTCCAGCACTTCTTTTACCTCTTAAAAATGTTCTCTGCAGTACCAAACCCCAAGCTTATAAAACAGAATGGCATTAATGCAATCCAGTTTCACAGTACAGACAGACTAAATAGGACTTTCTCCCCTCCCTTACATAAGGTGAAAAACCAAAACAGAATGAGGGTTTTTTTCCAAAGCAGAGCTGTTTAATAATTTGACTTCTAATATCTTCAAAACTTAGGACAGACTTACTGCAGCTCAGAAAGCTGCCTTTTAGAGACTAATCATTCATAGGTTGGTAGCTGGCAACTAGGAGACTGTGAACTACAAGTGATGTTTTTGACATCTGGGACCTAATATGCAGACTGCAGGTGCACATAATTTTGGATTTTGCAATGAAGTCAGCTGGTTACCATGGCTAATCCTACCCATTAACAGTTTATTCAAATGAGACCACCATGTCCCTCATAAATACAGAGCACGCTGCTCCTGAATAGGCCCCAAGAATTCCAGCATCCTCTCTTCAACAGGAAGAGGCCATTTTGACACAGCACACCATGGTATAATGACCCAATCTATCTTAATAATACAAAGTAGAACAAGTAAAACTTCTCCAGGTATCCACATAACACTAGCAGCAAATCTATATGATGCAATCACAAAAACCTAGATATTTAATTTTAATTCTACTTAAAAGCTGAAAGAGCAAAAATTGATCCAAACAGCTTTTGAACTTTTCCTAGTTCCATTAGGTAGTGGTCTCGCATACAGGCCAGGTCCCCACCAGGCACAAAGCAGTCCAGCTACACTGTAGTCAGCATCCTCACACCCATTTGCTCCAGCCAGTGATCTGCATCTTTACAAAAAAAAGAGGTAAAAATGGAACCTGAGCAAACTACCAAAACGTGCCCATCTGTCCCACAGGGTGTCATTCTCCACTTTCCCATGCCATGGTTTTCCACTTCATTTCTGGCAAGTCTTATGCATAGAATCTTGAACTTCCATCTATGCTGACATGCTTTTCTCCTCCTTTGATACTCGCATACTATTTCTACTGCAGAGTTCCCCACCTTATTTAGCACATTCCTAAATCTGCAAAGCGACTGAAATTGACATTTCAGATTTCGTTGACTAACTACTGCCAAGAAGGGACTCACTTCATTCTCCCTTGACTAGGAATATGCAAGTTAAAGACAAAACACATGGATCTACCAAGTAAGCTAAAAAGAAAGTGATTTCAAAATATCATCTACTGTCCAAAGAGAACAGTAGGCAGAGGAGAAAGATTACCTTTCAACACACCATCACTAGTCAGGAGACACTCCTTTCCAGTACATTAGCCAAAGTTGCATCCTTCCAGGTGCCCATGTGACTTGTGACCAAAGAACAAGCTCTATACCAGCAGCCCTTCAAAACCAGCATTATAAATGTAAAGGGAAGCTTTCAGATCACTCCCACTCCCCTTCTTAATTAAATAGGCCAAACAAATCCCTAGAAAACAACCAGACAACATAAAACTTAAATGTGTTTTAAGCCACACATATCAAATAACACCCTAACGATCACTGCATAATCTTAACAATTTGCCAGTACTCATTTAACAAGTATTTGTCATTCATCTCTGCAAGTTCTGAGGCAGAACTCTTATTTGACATCAGATCTTAAGATGCCTGCTGACAAAAGATCCAGGTAGGAGTGCTTGGCTGTGCTGTTTAAAGGACAGCTACACCATCTGGAACTGTTCTCTGGAATCTCACCAATGAGGCTCCATTTGTCATGGATGCCATCGTTTGATAATTTTAAGCTACTCCTGACTTCCAGCCCTTTCTGATGGGTGAGCGAGGGTTCGGAGAGAGTTCAGATAATTTGGCACTGAAGGAATTTCACTGAAAAGCACATAAGGAAGCTAGGAAGGCGCAAGAGCTGTATAAGAGTTATAGTTCCCAGAGGGCTAGCAAGATTTGATCTTTAGAGGTCCTTGGCTTCTTGAGAGAGAGCAGAGAGCTAAGCTGAATCAAAAAGGTTCTGTTCTCACTATGGAAACCATTCTGCTTGCCCTGGCACAAGTACAGTTCAAGTTATCAGCATATGAAATTGAAAACCTATAGTAATATGGAGTGCAGGACTATGCCTCGCTGTACACAATATACTTCCTCTTTTCCTTATTTTGGTTACCTGTTCTCACCCACTCCAAAAAGGAAGCACAATTTAAAAATTTTCATTTCATAAGGATAAGTTCTTGGATACAGTACCTACCACAATTGCATGTGGCTGGGATCAATGGCTCACAGGACCCCTTCCAGTTCTATGGGAGTTGCTCTGCAGAGCATCTTTGTCACACAGAAGTTATGAAAGCTGTTCAAGGTAAAGCTGGTGCCCTATCGCAGTAGTGGAAAAAGCTAGAACACTGCTGGTGATACCTTCCTTTGTGTGAGTACAAGATACAGACCTGGCCAACTGCCTGTAGTTAGGCATACCTGTCTTGCGATTGTCTGTATTTGCCAGGAACAGTCATCTTATGTGCAATTAGAGGTCATATTCCTAATACCTTTCAATAGCAGCACACATGGAAATGACCAGCAAGATTAAATTTGAATGTGACAGGATAATCTTACTTCCCAGGGATTCATGGGAGTGTTAGTGGGTTAAAAGCAAGATCTGAAGTTGTCAAATACTGACACATTATTATGTACTGCATAGTACCCCACAGCAAGAGGAAAAGAGGAAAGGAAAATGTGAGTATTTTCAGCTAAACATTTCAGTTGTGTCTGAGAACGCAGAAATGAAAGTATACTCTATGTGTGCTTAAGACAAGAAAGTCTTTAATTACTTCCCTGGGACTCTTTGCAATCATGATATACAGTGGGCTGTATAGTTCAGCAATCAACACTTTTTCCACTTCCAGAAACAACGTTTTTGCATATGGATGTACCATATTTCAGACCCCAAGTTTTAAGTGACTGAACAGTGCCTGTTTATATGCCAGTATCAGACATGAAATTGCTTATCCAAGACACTGCTCAAGTGATAAAAGCAAAAACAGGACTCCCCCCTACCATTTCTTATTATGATACTCAAAAATATATCACTTGCAACAGTCCAACTGCTTCTCAGACTCTGGGAAGAAAGCTTCTGGGTTTCCAGTATTAACAAAGCAGCATGATACAAAGGTCCTTTTCTAAGGATTATATTATTGGTAGTATTATATAGCTAAGGGAGAGAAGCTGCCATAAAGCAAGCTAGCAGTGGTGAGGTAAAAAAAAAGAATAAAATCATACAAGCAAGCTTGTTTCCTCCACCCCCAAATGAGAAACTGTCTAAAAAAAGAGAGCAATATTTGATGTCATGCTCATAACTCATCTAAGCTATAAAGCTTGTTAATACATTGAAAAGGGATTTTCATTCTAGAACAAGTAATTCTGACAAAGATGCATTTTTGTAACAGTAAAAAAGCCTTCATAAACAAAAGCCAGGCTTCAACATATGCCTGCTTCCACAAGGATTTTAATGAGTTTCTCCTGTCATTTTAACCAATTGCTAAAAACATCTGTACCATCTGCCTTCAGAGTCAACTGTGCTCCCAGAAAACGCACTCAACTTGATTTTTCACTTCATTGCAGAATCACAGAATCCCAAGGGTTGGAAGGGACCTCAAAAGATCATCTAGTCCAACCCCCCTGCAAGAGCAGGGCAACCTAGAGTACATCACACAGGAACTTGTCCAGGCAGGCCCTGAATATCTCCAAGCAAACCATTTGTGTGACAAAACACCAATATTCCTTTAGGAAGTTTCAACTTCATCTTTAGACTATCCTGAAGAGCTGAACTGAGAGAGGAACAATATTTTCACATTTAAGAAGCTATGTAACAGCAAACAGGGAAAAAAAAATAAAAGACTACATACAACCTTACATGAATTCTGTCTTAACTAGCACAATACAGAAAGGCTGTGTATATCTGAAAAGGGAGTAGATAGCTAATGTGGACGGCTTCCCATTCCGTATTCCTATCACTCAAAGGTCTCTCAGTTCCTCAATGGCACAGGTAGCACGAAAGATCTTTTTTCAGAATGTGATTTTTCATTTCCATGGGCCAGCTCCTTCTGCTCTGCAGACATACATTTCAGCCCTTTTCCAGTGACGTCTGGCTTTTTTCCCTTTTCTCATTTATAATTCGGTCAGTTCTTACTCCTGCCACCTAAGCCTAGATTCAGATACCCATGCTCACATGAATGCACAATTTCAATCAGATTAGTCACAGAGCATGGAACTAAACTCAAGGGTCTAAGAATCCAGTTTCTTATGAGGGAGGACTTCCCATTCTTCCCCTCCAAAGCACTTGAAATCCACCTACCTTTGCACCGGCCACGATGTGTCACGCTCAGACCTGACTCCCGGCATTTGGCTCTTTGGTAGTCGCACATTGACTCATATGTTCTGCCATCAGAGGCACAGAGGGGTTTGGACTGGGACCTGGAGCAATGCAGGTTACACTGAGGGTCTCTGTCACGGTCACTTATTAGAAACTGCAGGAATGGAAAACAAGGAGGGAGAGAGGAAAACAAAACATATTGGGTTTGTTTGGTTTCCTAAAACAGAACACAGTGTATTTTGGTTTTATGACAATAGCAATATGGGCTATAATGCAGTTAAAGCTGCCTACCAAAGCTGACTTTGCCTGAAGGGAACTGTAAATGAAACACGTACATCTTTAAAAATAAAAAAAATAAAAGAATTAAGGGTCTTTGCCATTCCATTTTCTTTAACGGAACGGAAACATTACTCACTCTGCCTCACCTCTGAAAACATAAGATGTGCAACGCCAAATACAACCCACACGGGAAGGGCAATACTGAGTCACAACAGCCCAGCTTGCCGAGTGCCCTGCCGCAAACAGTATCTGGTACCAGACAATTTTAGTCAGAGGCACAAGAAACTTATCACCAAGGAACCCAAATAACTTATCAAGATTGGCTTTGGCAGCTGAACCATGAATGCGGCCAGCTTTATATCACAAGTTATTTGTTTTTAAAGCATTACTTACATCATCTGTGGATAGCACCTGCAACAGCATACCTTGCACACTTCCAAAGCCATGTTTTGTTCCTTCCCAACGACATTCTGCCTGGCTGGCAATTGCATTGTATGTATCCCACAGTCTAACTGCACACTAAGTGAAAAGCTATTTCTTTACCTAAGTCTGAATTGGTCATCTTTCTGAATAAATCTTTTCCTGAACATTCACTTCAGATGCAGCCTATTTTGTGTAAATGTCGCACTCTTCTTGTCAATCTATCGATATGAACAACTCCAGTCTCCCAATTCCTTGCCCAGAAGCATTCATCTGTACCACAGTGACCACTGTTTGCATTCTCTGAAGACAGCTTGGCTTCTGCCTCATCTTTTGGAGATGGGGAAACCCACATAGAATATAAATACGTTTTCATTCCACTTGTTCCCTGCAAATCCCAACATCTGGCAGTAGTTTACTGTTGTATCCTTAGTACAACAGTAAACTACTGCCTGTAAGGACACCCAAGTCTCTTTCTTAAGTTCATACTGTTTTCCTGAGGACCCTGACTGCTAGCCTTCTTTCCATAACCATCGGTATAGAGGTTTGGTAGGACACAACAGCAACAGCCCTTTTCATTTCCCATGCTACCCTACTCAGTGGCTAATCAGTCAGACCTTTAACTATTACCCAAACCCAACCACCTGCTCACAGAAAGATTTCAGAAGACTCTTGAAACAAGTCCCATGAGGATTAAGCAAAGAAAAGGGAAGTTAAACCTGCCTTGCAAATCCCCTTACCGAGCTCCCATTTCTTAAGCCTCTCTCAAGCCTGAGGGGACCAGAGTTGCTCTCTAACACACCAATATCCCAGCTTGCTGTCAAAGCCATTAGGAGCTCAGCAGCTTGGAGCTGGCTGGCAAGTGGGCACTGACTGACACTCTGCCTGTACGCACAAAGCCACGGCTCTCCAAGTGTGTTGATAGCTGGATGCCTTACAGGGAAGTGTGAGTCATTGCCATAATCACCTTGGTGTTACAGTTGCCTACAAAGCTGTCTGCTCTATCCTTTGAGGTTAAAACTGTTGAAAAAACATTGCCTGAAGCCTAGTTTGGGTTGGTTTTTAACCACTCCAAGAACATGCATCTCTGAAATTTGTTTTTTGACATTTAAAAGAGGGTTCTTCACCCCTTTTCTCTCCCTACTTAAATGAGATGAAAAACAATTGAGAAATTGCGCATTTTCATACAAAAACATATTAGGTCTGTGCTGCTGGATCTTTTGAAGACTCATGCATTACTAAAAGCCCTATTTAAACATGACAGCTGGGAGAAGTAAGCAAGGTCTGCATTTGTTTTACTTTCGGTGGGGCAATCTTTCTTAAAAATATCTCATCCGTCAGACTTGCCAAAATTTGTTACAGCACAGAGTTTTAAAAATGTTTTTGTTCCTTTTCTGCAACACTTTCTATAACCTGGCAACACCTGTTCCAAATGGGAAATTGGAAAATTTAAACCTGACGGCAATTTTAAATGGTTTATAGAGACCTGGACTAGACTATAAAAACACTGTAAAGCTGGACCAGATTTTTGCCCAGTTCTTGTCAGGGGTTGGGCTATCACAAGCGAGGTTGGAATTGCTCTGGCTAAAGTAATGTCTTTCTGTAGCCCCTGAGGTGCAAAGATCACCAGTGACACTAAACATACAGCAAAAAGCAGCAAGCTGAAGATGCTGAAGCTTCCTCCAAGCATGTGATGTCAGAGACCTTGAAAGACTTGCAAGACTTTTCAGCTGTCTGTATAAACAGGCTTTAAAAGCAGTGCTGCTCAACAGTACAGTATGGTGCACATACAGCCATTAAGTATCCAGTTAAACACAGAAGCCATTCTGGTTCAGAAGGAATGCATGCATCTGCCATGTATCACAACTCTGAGGGCCCGAGGTACTGGCATGAATTTTTTTGTGCAAATTCCTTGTGTCAGAAGGGAGTTGCACGGACAGGAGTCATCCAGAGGCGCACTGAAAAAGCGAGACTCTTGGTTCCCAGCATCAAACCACATTACAGACTTAATGAAAACTCCGCTTCTAGCATGAAAACTCACCTAAGAGTCCTACAGCCTGTACAAAATACTTATTAGAAAGGGGGCCTTGCAGGCCTGCTTCCAGAAAGGGAATCTCTGAAGAACAGAAAGTCCTTCTCAAGGCTGACAAACAAACTAAACCTATGGCTATGGAATAGCTTTCTCCCAGCACCTCCTCACAAAGAGATGGGGAAGAACAGCTGTGTATTGATTAATTATGAGGGCCTGAGGAAACATGCAGAGCACCCCAATGAAGTCTATGAAGTTCTTGCCTGCCCAAATTAAGCCAAGATCCATGTTATAAGGAAAAAAAAATATATTAAAAAATCAAAGTCTTTTCAGCATTTGTAATTTGGAGTACAGTAGGGAGCCCACACAGCATGTTAGGTGCTTTCCAGACACTGAAGTTGCCACACCTGCCTTGCCAAAAAAGTTTATGGTTTACCTAGTTGCACAAGATGGTTCTTGTTTTAGTTTGGCTAGATTATAATTGTAAAAAGTCTGCATTAATTTCCAGAAGGATCCAGGATCATGCCTGTCTGATCAGGGTTCTTCTCATGTGATCAGATAGCACTGCCAGAAAAGCCGTATCTCTTGGAGATACTACTGAAGGGCTTTAAAAACTTCCTCTTATCGTAGGACACCTTCTCCACTATCTCAGAGCCCTTGTCTTCACATTGGTGGCTTTCAGGTAGTAAACTGGTGGTTCTTTGTCCTGCTTCTAGCTGGTAAATGTTCATGCTACAGAAGTGATATCAACACAGACCATCCAGAGACATTTAACATACTGGCCATTTTGAGTGTCCATCCCCACCCACCCAGCACAGAGTTTTCTTTCTAGCATTTTGCCTGAGAGCACGATAACTGCCTGCCTTTGTAAGCAGCCTCAGCCACATGAAGAACACTGTACAAATGCTGAAATATGTGTCTGCCCATCAGGACAAGCGCTCCAGTCTATCATTTTAACAGCTTGGACTACAATTCATAAGTTACTTGCTCTCAGTCCCTTATTCCCTTCAAGCAAGCAGGCACTGCTTTTCCAAGGAGCACGGCCCTTTTCCAAAAGGGCACCTTGGTCACTGGAGGAGATGTTGCTAAGCAGTGTCCACAGGGTGTCCTGATGCCTGGCTACTCCCTAGGCACAGCCGGGGCTGTAACATGATTCTCTGGTCCTTTCAGGGGAAGCATAGCAAGATAGAATATTCCGTCTTCAACACCAAATGTCCTATCATGACCCTTGAAAGCTCAAATCAAAGCCTAACAGCTATCCTAACAGCTTCAGGACACCCATACAAACAGACTTCACAAACAACAGAACCAATGCTCACAGAGCAGTGCTTAGTGCTGTACACACACAGACATGCAACATGTACAGATCTGGACCCACAGAAAAAGCAACCCTTCAAACACGTGCAAGCACCAGCAGGTTTCCAAGCATCATTTAGAAAGAAGAGGTAAATAAGTATCTTAGCTCTGAGATTTCTCAAAGCCTCTTCTTGATACCTGTGTTCCCATTTGTTTCAGAGCAGAACACATCCAAAACAAATGGGACTGGAGATGGTGTCACTCACTGGCTTATCAGTTCTTTTCTCTCCTCCCTTTTCCTCCATGACAGAAGAACTTTTAAAAGCAAACCTAAAAACAAAATAAAAAAAACACACACAAACCCAACCCACAAACACAAAACCCCACAAAAACAAACCTACAAAACACCAAAACAAACAAAAAACCTACAATAACTAGCAAAACAATGTATTTTCCAAGACAATGCTAAAACTAATCAGATTGCAAATGGGATCCCTTCAATGCAGACTCAAGTATTAAAATAAGTACAAGTAACTAGACAAGACTATTTGTGTTTCTGTAGCATTTGCTTACATTAAGGGAGATCTCACATCTACACCAGTCAGTTTGTGTCCCTTAGAGCTCCCAGTTCAATGTAGCTCTTAGAGCATCTTTTTATGTCAAATGTTGTATCTGTACATAAACCTCCTCCTTTAGCAAATACATTTACACAGGTGCTTGCAGAAACCACTTCCCAAACTGCTTTCTGCTTCTTCAGACTTGAAAAGAAAAAGGAAAGATAAGAGGTCAGAATGAAGTTAACTTTGCCAACAAAGCATATCTGTTCTTTTTCTCCACACCTCAACACCACTGCTGACAAACAACAAACACTGATTAAAGGGTTTTTAATGCCTGTGAAGGAAAGCAGACTCCCTGCAGCTGCACAGCAGCTGGGAACACTTGTGTTATTTAGCAGAGAAAGGTCTGACCCCACAAGTGAAAATGAGCTTGGTGGTCACTCATTCTATTCACCATCTGGGTACATTATAAGCACAAACAGAACAGCACAGCTCTTTGTGATGAAGGGAACAAGAAATGACCAAGGCATTGCAGTACCAGGGTAATATGCTTTAGCAAGGCTTCAAGGGAAA